AAAAAAAAAAAAAAAAGGCTGGGGATGTGGCTCAGTGGTCAAGTGCCCCTGAGTTCAAATCCCCAGCACCAAACAAACAAACAAAAGTGCATTCTGGAAGGTGCTTCCACTTGACTCTTCTCCCCTTGCAGGCACCCAGATGTCCTCCCCAAAGGAGAGCAATCCAACTGAGGAGACAGGTGCTTTTCCTTCAGGCTAGCCTTCCCCACCAGGGGACACATTTTCCTCTCAAACTCTTTTTCCCCCTGTGGCTGAGGCTCTCCTGATGCTCTGGTTCTTTCTTGTCTGTGCTTGACTGGTCACCTGAACCGGTATCAATGCATAAAGGGTTTGCTCTGTAGACCATCCCTCTCCACGTGCAGTTCCCAGAATGTAGCCCTACACTGCCCAGTAGTCACAAGTAGCTCCTTCTATTTAAATTAACAGAAATAAAAGAGAAAAGGCAGTATCTTGATGACTCTAGCTTAGCTGCATTTCCAGTGTTCAGTGGTCTCACTTGATTGGTTACCATTCCAGGTCAGCATATGGTAGAAAGTTCTTTTATAAGGTGCTGGTTTAGGTCATGAATAAAGATGCTATGTGGGTTTCTTTCAAATTCATGTATTTTTTCTTCATTGCTGCAGAATTCATGAATTAGCGCAGAAACTCCAAGGTGTGAGAAAGGAATTGGACTGAAATAGCCTGAGCTGTGCTGAGCACCAGGCATGGCACAATACAAGGGCACCATGCGGGAGGCTGGCAGGGCCATGCACCTGATCAAGAAGCGGGAGAAGCAGAAGGAACAGATGGAGGTGCTGAAGCAGCGCATCGCTGAAGAGACCATCATGAAGTCGAAGGTGGACAAAAAGTTCTCAGCTCACTACGATGCCGTGGAGGCCGAGCTCAAGTCCAGCACGGTGGGCCTGGTCACCCTGAACGACATGAAGGCCAAGCAGGAGGCCCTCTTGAGGGAACGCGAGATGCAGCTGGCCAAGAAGGAACAGCTGGAAGAGCGCCGGCTGCAGCTGGAGTTGCTGCGCGAAAAGGAGCGCAGGCTGGAGCGTAAGCGCAAGATCTCCAACCTGTCCTTCACGGTGGACGACGGCGACGGCGATGACCACTGCGATGACCGAGGCGACGATCGCAATGAAGGCTGCATGACCGAGGCCAGCAAGAGCAAGAAGAACCTGGGCAAGAATCCCGACGTGGACACGAGCTTCCTGCCAGATCGTGACCGCGAGGAGGCGGAGAACCGGCTCCGAGAGGAGCTCCGCAAGGAATGGGAGGCCAAGCGCGAGAAGGTGAAGAGCGAGGAGATGGAGATCACCTTCAGCTACTGGGACGGCTCGGGGCACCGGCGCACCGTGCGTATGAACAAGGGCAGCACCGTGCAGCAGTTCCTGAAAAAGGCGCTGCAGGGGCTGCGTAAGGACTTCCGCGAGCTGCGCTCGGCCGGTGTAGAGCAGCTCATGTACATCAAGGAGGACCTCATCCTGCCCCATTACCACACCTTCTACGATTTCATCATCGCCAAGGCCAGGGGCAAGAGCGGTCCGCTCTTCAACTTCGACGTGCACGATGACGTGAGGCTGCTCAGCGATGCCACCATGGAGAAGGACGAGTCACACGCAGGCAAAGTGGTGCTGCGGAGCTGGTATGAGAAGAACAAGCACATCTTCCCCGCCAGCCGCTGGGAGCCCTACGATCCCGAGAAGAAGTGGGACAAGTACACCATCCGATGATGGGCACGCCAAGGCCCCTGGCATCCTTCTGCACATGCCAGGAAAGACTCATCAGAATAGGAAATACTCAGATTCCCAGACCCTGTAACTTCTAACATCGTTTGATGAGCTTAATTTCTTACCTGAAATTTAATAAAGACAAAGGGGTCCCATTATTCAATTTGGTCATTCTGTGACTGATGTTATTCTTTGGTTACTTGATTGGTTTTTTAAGTTTTTAAGTTTTTTTTTAATACTGCTTCATGGCTTTGTTTCATGGCCCTTTTGTACATTATGTGATAAAGTAAAGAGTACATTTTGGGCCAAGAGCTCTGAGGATGGACTTTGGAGCCAGAAATGACTGGATTTGATTTCCTGCTTCTGCTTCTTACTGTGTACTTTTGGGTGAGCTTATTAAACTTAAGTGCCTTGGTTTCCCCACCTGTAAAAGGAAATGACAGTAGTGCCTACCTCATAAGCATTGATGTGAGGAGTAAATTGACTATTTGTAAAACACTTAGAATTCAATAAATGTCTTCTATTCTTCTTATGGTCTTGGTTACTTTATTGAAAGGTTTGCTATGACCCAGTTATGAAATGTCTGAGGCCAGGAGTATACTGCCCATCACTACTCCCAGGATCAGTGGTTAGGAGAGGGGAGGGGGCTCACATAGGTGAGACAGCAGCCCCACCTCTGGTTTCCTTAGCTGGTTGGTTAGCCCAAGGGGTTAGGAGGATTGAAATTGGGCACATGGCCTAAAAGTTCATCAATTTCCTTTTTGACAAAAGCTCCAATATGGTTGACTCCACAAAGCACTCTTTCAGATTGTTGTCTTCTAAAATGTTTATATTTCATTGATTATGACTGTTAACTTTAATTTTAAAAAGAGATTATATTAAAATATTATTCATCTCAGTTACTGAGTTTTTAGGTGCCCCTTTCCTTTAACCTTACAGCCCAAGGCATATATACCCCTCTCAATTTACCCTAGTCCCAGCATGGACTCTAGGAGGGATACTTCTCAGAGTTCTTGTCCAACCAACATTGGCTTTCCAGGATGGTGAGTTCCAATGTTGGTCTCTTAGAATCATCAGAGAAGCTTTTAAACTTCTCAATTCCCAGCACCCAGAGCCAGATCTCAGGGGACAGAATGTAGATATGGTGTTTTGAAGCTCCCAGTCAGATTAGACAAATGCTGGACACCCTCCCTCTATCCCTCCTCTTTGAGTTTCCTTGCAACAAGCACACCTGGTGTGGGTCCAGGACACATGCTTGATTCTGGGTCCAGGACACACACTTCAGTGGAAAACAGGTCCTTACTACTGGAGGTGAAATCCTTGGCCCAGAATCAGCACTTGGGAGATGGTTAAGAAGCAGAATCTCGAGTTCCATCACAGGTCTACTGAATTAGAACATGTGTGCCAACAAGACCCTCTAGTGATGTATAATCAGATTTAAGGAACCTCTGGCTGACCAGATGTCTACTCTTTGGCCTGTACTTCAGGATGTAGACGTGGGGGTGCTAATAGTAGAACCCTACCTCTTTGGTTGTAGGCCCAAGTCATGTTTTTCAATCCAGCTTTAATTTAGAAGTTGATATTCTAACCACAATCTAATCCTGCATCTGTTTTTTTATTATTATTATTATTATTATTATTATTATTATTATTATTATTATTTGTGGGGAGCCACAATGAGTTATCACGCCTTCCAGTCCTAATACACCACGGGGATCTGAAAGGTCACTCTAGTCTGGAGTAGTAGTGCTATGACTCTGGAGCGGTAGTGCCATGACTCAAGACTCAGGCTTTATACCCCACCCCCCCTCGGATAGCAAGGCCAGTCTTCTGAGAAGGCATACCCCTGGGGTTGAGCTACACTCTCCTATTCTTTTGTAATYCTACCCCTTTGCCCTTTCRGGGATAGAATGTTCCATGGAAACTCCCTTTGTGTGTCCCCTTCTCTTGCTCTACCTTTAGGCATGGCCTTCCTAGCTGTCTGTCAGCCTGCTGACAGCAGACATCACAAGCTAGACTCAACCCCTTGAAACCTGACCCCTTGCCTCATTTGAGTGCCTTCTCCCCAATAAAAGGATTCATATCTCTCTCTCTCCCTCCCTCCCTCTCTCTCTCTCTCTCTCTCTCTCTCTCTCTCTCTCTCTCTCTCTCTCTCTCCATGGACCCCTAAGGTCAGAGGAGCAGGACCCAAAGAAAAAGGTATCTCTGTCTCTTGTGTGATTATTTCTTGCAACCCAGTTCACCTGGAATGACCCTGAGTGTTTTAGTTGTGAGGAACGTGACATTTATTGCTATTTGTGTTGTTATGTATTGACAAGTGATAGTCATATATATTCCTGGGGTGCAACGTTGGGTTATGGTTTTTAATTATTTTAACATTTTTTTTGTTGTGAGAACATTAGAAATTTACTTTCTTAGTGATAATATATACAATACTTAATTTTTAGCCATATTAAGCATGCTGTGCAATTGACCTAAAAAAAATTGGACTTATAACTGAGGCTTTGATACCTTTGATGCCCCCTCCCTACTCCCCTCACTCCCAGTCCCTTGCAATCACCATTCTATTTTCTGCTTCTATTAGTTCAATTGTTCTAGATTCCACGTGTAAGTGAGAACACGGGGTATTTTTCCTTCTGTGTTCTGTAGTTAAGTCATGGGGTTACTACCCTCTGAAGTGATTATGCAGCTCTTATAAGACTGAATCTCCAGAAAGCAGGTATTTTATAAAAAACTGAGTTTGGCTTTCTGCCTTGCCATGTGATCCCTTCTGCACATGTTCCATTCCCTTTCTGCTTCTCTACTACATTGTGACACAACCAGAAGTGCTCTCTCCAGAGTTGAGCAAATGCTGACACCATGCTCTTGGATCTCCAAAACTGGGAGCTAAATATGCACTATGACACACCAGCCTTCTGACATTCTCCTAAGACTTCCCTACTGCTACCGCCATGGTAGGTACAAGACTGAATGTGCTGGGAGTGAACCAACAGCTTCTGTCACCAATTGGAACCCCAGGGTAGGAAGGGGTTAAATACATGTTCAGACTTCAACATATGCCAGATTATTTGATAAACCATATTTCATCTAATAATATGAAATATTTGTATTATTAGCCTGATGCAGAAATTGTGGATCTAAACCATGTGGATCAGGTTGCAACTGGAATGTTGTGGTATAATAAGAAAGATATTTGGTTTTATCCCAGTTTCCTGGCACAGAGCTCCTAAAATCCTTGGAATTTCCTGAATAGACATGTTTTTATTGTTCATAATGAACATCTGTCAATCACACCTGGGTTTATGCTAATGAGGTGACTTAGGATAGGCCACCTATCCTGAGGTGACCTTCAAGGATGAAGCTATTCACCAGAAAAACCAAGTAATTAGATAACTGGAATTTTCAGCCTGTAGAAAACTCTCGAACAGCAAGATTTGGTGAGCTTTTGGGTAGTGAACTCATCCAGTGGAGGAAAGCTGGTGTACCCCAACTCCACAGGGCTAGACACCCCTATGCTCAGGATCCTGCAGCACCTTGCCCTATATGCCTCTTCATCTTTCTTATATCCTTTAAAACAAACATAAGTTAAATGTTTCCTTGAGTCCTAGGAACTGCTTTAGGAAATGGAGTCATGGGAACCTCTAATTTATAGCCAATTGACCAGAAGTACAAGAGATCTTGGTGGTATTAGTGTCACAGTTGGGGCAGACTTGTGGGACTGAGCCTTAGCCCATGGGATCTGATGCAGTAGCAAGAATGCAATTGAATTTTTTGGATTCCAGCTGGTGTCAAAGAATTGGTCAGTAAAGAAGACACCTGCCCATCTTGCATCAGAGTGCTCCATGTGAGTGTCAATAAACATGTCTCCTCACAGATTTAAACCTCAGTCTGTTTGGCTTCTACACCTTTGATTTTCAGTTGAAGCTTCATGTTTATTCATAGTTGCACATTGTATAAAGAGAGATTTCTATCAGACTTGTGAGAAAAGCACTTGCCCTCTGCCCCATCACCCTCTCAGTTTCAGTTCCTCAGAGGTAGCTACTTTTCAGCAAATGCTCTTGAAATTGACCTCTGCATCTCCAAATAACCTGTCATCCTGCTGCTACTTGAGTTTTCTGGTTTAGGCATAACCTGTTAACTTCCTATTATGGGTGACCAGGATTTAGCTCTCTTTCTTCCCTTCTCTATCAACCCCCAACACACATGTGAAACCCCCATCATTCCCTTAGAAGCAAAAGCCTTTCTGATCGGACCAATATTCATGTGTTTGCAATATTATCATCATAAATATGCAGCATTATTTATTATCAACAATTTTTCTGGGGATTTTTGGGATTAATTGTTTTCTACTAATTTTTTGTTTAATTTCTACTAATTTTTYTGGAATTATTTTCCATTTTGATTAACTTTCTTTGTTCTTATTATTAAATCAACTTCATACTTCCTGTCAATTGTTTTCATCCTCTTTCAATAAATCCCTTAACAACCTAAAATAACAGAGATCCTCTACAGAGAATGAGTTTATCTGGAGTGAGTGACAGCAATCTGGGATAGGTGGTACCATAGCAAGCCATGCCACAGGCATTTCCAGGAGGCAAAGGAAAGCAAGGATTTGTAAAGTCAAGATGGGGAGAATTATGTAAATTGTATTAAGTCACAGAAAACTATGGTAATGGGGATTATCTCAGGAACTGAGGCAAATGGTAGTTTAGGACCTTCTCTTTGTGGTCTGGATCTATTTAGTCAGGATTTGACAAGATGACTCTTATTAACCAGATTTCAATCACCGTGACAAAATACCAGAGAAAATCAAATTAAAGAAGGAAAAATTTATTTCGATTTGTGATTTCAGAAGTATTAGACCATGGGTCACTTGGTCCCATTGATTTGAGCATTTGACAAGGCAGGATATCATGAAGGGGAGCAYGTGTTGGAGCAGAACCGCTTACTTTATGGCAGCTGGGAAGCAAAGAGAGAGCAAGGGGGCTGTGAAACATACACTC